CTGATTATCTTGTATTACCCATGTATCGCGCCTGCCAGATAACCCTTGCTGAGCTTTGTTTTGAACGGACGAAACCGCGCAATCTGACCTGTCACGCAGCACGAACGGCTGCGTCGACGCCGACCGAAGGACAGTCCATCACATCCCGAACGTACTGACTCCTGCGCCGTCACGGCCATTCACACTGTCAGACTGCCCTATATGTATGTCTGTACATCGTTTGGTACTTACTTGCTGTTGCCCCTATAGAAGTCTGTGCTGCGTCAGTGACTACCTCCCGCTCCTGCTGATTGCGTCATTGTTGATTATACGTTTACTTAATTCATGATGCTTACTAGTCCGTTTGTCTGTAGAACCAGTTCCTGCCCCACGTCCGTTTGCTCCTATTGACTACTGGCTGCGAACTGCGTATAATCCAATTGTCGCAATCGTCTTGTGAGATCCATAACCGTCCGGATCTTACAACTTGGTGTCAATGGGGATGATAATTCCTGGTTCGCCGCAGAGTTCCTGATCAGCTGAGTAAAGGATAGACATAAAGGAAACTACTCACAAAGTTGCTGAATTCTCCTCATCAGCCCACTACCGGTTTCGCCCTTCTTGGGACTCATCAGGTAGGCGCAGTCCCCGAGTTTCCGTCAACTTTATGTTCTGCTTGAAGCCAACTTGGACCGTTTTCGAGAAATAAACTCATTCGCGATTCAATTTGGTTTTCACGAGAGACCCAACTGAATCTCTCGTTTATGGTATTCCTTTATGAAAATATACTCCGAATACCGCGCCAACTGAAACATGAGGCGACCTGTGTGCAGCACATTCAGTTATAGAATATCATAAACGAGAGATTCAGTTGAGTCTCTCGTGAAAACCAAGTTGATTTGCACATGAGTGTATTTCTCGAAGGAATAGACATGTTCTTCCCATGTCACCCACTGGTAACCGGACCTTTTCAGTTTTAGTGCATGGGTTCAGGCTAGCAAACAGAGTTTGGTGCCTGTGCAGAACAAACGTAAGCTCCACCGTGGGCACTTGCAGTGATCACATGATTTGCAGACTGTAGGTCAATGCACGCTACGGAAGCATCAAGGCAGCTTGGATGATCCTAAGAGACCTTTTCGTGCCCTAATCCAAAGGTATCGTGTATCTGTTGTGCAATTAAATTGAATAGCGAAAACGTGGATCTGGACTCACGTACCTGTGGTACGTTATCACTGCATATTTACATAAGAAATTTCGGTGACCGTTGTGCGATTAAAACGCGTTTGAGAAAGACGTGTTCCGGATGTAAATGCACCAGGAAAAATGGGTAATGAGTACACCCAAACTATCGTCCGGACCAATCGGTATCGTGTCAAAATGCGAATATTTGGTGATTCACTCGTTTTGGTATCCCAGGTAGTGAAGGGGACAGGTGTGAGGTTTTCGTGCACTTACCTAACCTTTATGAGAACTCCACTAATAACCCACACTCGTGCTGTGACCCCTGGGTTTCATGGGGATTTCAGCTTGGCAAGCGCTGATAGGAAATTGTCATTAGACGGACGGAGGGACGGTACAAGACAGTATAATGTAGTGATGTGCCCGAACCACTTACTTTCCCGAAATGGCAGATGTGGTCCACACGGGGACGTGCTTAATTCCCAAAGAAGTCAAGAGCTTTTCTAGTGGGTATTCATTGAGTCCAACAACAAAAAACCCGAAAAATTTCAAGGCAGTACGTTATATAAGTTCAGGGTAGCCAAACAGCCACAGATGTCTGGCTATGCACAAAGACTATTATTTAGATTGCCAGTGTGAACAGTTTCGGCAAAGTTTGACAAAGCGGTAATGTGTGGCAACGCATGATGTTGAAGGGCGACGCGGAATCTGCAGCGTGAAATGTCAACATGTTGGTTCAGTGATGACGGTGGAAACTTCCTGTCTGCAACAAATATTGGGCTGCAGCCTGAAGCGTGGTTCTGCACCAAGGGTGAGAGAAGAGACATTTGTCAGATTCGACGGTGTGCCTTGCTCCGTGGCTACATGGGATTTCAATTATAAAATGTAAGCTAGGCTTCTCTTTCCATCCATGGCTTCGGCTGATTACATGTGATCCTGCCACGCTGTTTTTCAACACTACGGATAAACGCATGATACTTCGGGACATTAGGTTGTCTCCTGTCACTATCGTCTGCATGGCTGTTTTAACACTCACTTTGCTGTGTCGCACGATGGCCTGCAGTGCGAAGCCCTTCTATTCCAGACTAATGATCAATACCATCCAATCTGCAGATTCTAAGTGCCAGAGTGTGTGGTGTTCCCGAGACTTTACACTAGTACTTCAACGAACTTAAACAGGATCAAGTGGGATTTCAATAGACGCTGCGTTTAACTGACTCGTCCCCTCTGTGTAGGTGACGCAAATAATAGAGTGAACGGTATTCATATAAACTCAGGTATTTATACGTTACCACTGACCGAAGTATCATCTATGTATCGCTTGTAGCAGAACAACTTCGCCACATACTTCATTGCAATCACGCAGACTTTTGAAAAAACCGCACATTGCTGACTTCTCATCATTACTCCGTCATTATGTCGATTTGGAAAACTCATAGCTTAAATGTTTTGTATGTTGGAGCAACGGAGTCTCTATCAGCCCCCGCAGGCTGTGAGCTAAAATTCTTCGACTCAACCATTCCATATAAGTGGTCATTGGTTTCATACGAAGGAGCACTGGCAAAAGAGGGTTGTAAATCAGGCAAAAAACACTCTTTTTCCCAATTTTAGGGAAGGCATATATTTCAGGTGTATAACCGCCGATTGGCCTTAATTGGAGATGGCCTTTTTCGTTAATTCACCTATGCCAAGAAGCAAGTCGGGCTGATGATACGCACCTTCCTCTAGAGGTGCAACAGGTTCTTTCTTATCAGCTGAGCTTCTGTCCTGTAAATGAAGCCAATCTGCCGTGTGCATCTCGCGAAACACCGAAAGGTTTTTGGAACTTATTCTATAATTAATAAATACACTTGTCTGCATACAAATTTCGCCTTTACAGGAGACTCACTTGGATCCCGGATGAATCTCTTGTTTGAGATACTCTTCTCCGACCACTGGTTCGAAAATCTTGATGTGGTTATCAGCTGACAATTAATACTTTCTTTTTTGAAAACCGTGTTTTACCTATTAAATTACCGGAGCTACTCAAGAATGCTTCGGATACTCTTGTGCCTTATGGCATTAACTTCTTGAAACCCGATGATAAAACCTCCAGAACTTGCGGCGACCACGGTGAGTAAAATGCCGAAGCATTAGATGCTCACTAGCAAAGAGCCCGTAGGCAAAATTTGACGGTTTGACGTAGACATTTTTGTTTCCCGCGTCGATATAAAAGAGCTTATCCACAAGCACCTCCGCACATGCGTTCAAGGTAGCTGACGTTTGGATGCCGAGGTTTCACCCTTTTCCCTCAACAACTTTGGCCGTTGTTGAATTGATTGACTGCTTGAGTGTTTAATCGAAAGCTGCTTTTTCTATCCTGGATGCTTGGAAGCCCCGCTAGTACAACTTTGGTGGGGTATGAGGGTTCCAACAACACAGTGGGTTGACTGAACGAAGGTCGGCGGGTGGATTATGCATGCAAAAAGGTTTGTACGAGGCTAGGCATAAAATCACGTCAAATAGCCTCACCAGCACTTCCGCGGAAGCCATAAAACGAGTACTTTTAAAGACTAAGGCACACTTACGATGCCACGACATGCCAAAACCTGGGTGGTATGTTTTTTCTGGAGAAGTTCCTGTCTTAGATCTACTATTGGGTTGAAATATATTTCTCTCAGTGACCAGCCATCAAAGTACAGGAAGTTGGGAACTTTCAGGTAAACCAGACAAATTAGCAATGGTACGGTTTCCTAATTTGGGGCGGATTTGAATTTAGGTTTGCAGCACGTCACTAAAGCCAGTCTTCCAGTGGTAGATGTTTTTAAACCACCTCCAACGTTGAAGATTGTCACACTCCGAGTAATGCCGACTCATAAGCCTGCTCACACTATACGCAAGACACTAGAAATAGTACATATAGAAGGGTTACGCTGTCGGATAGTAGGTTTGATTTTGTTATTTTTCAACGCAAAATTCTTTTCGTGAGCATAACTTCGCCGTCTTTGTTCTCCTGGTTACACTAGAAAAAAGGTTGGCATGGCTGGGGGCGTGAACAATCCGTAAGTTTATTCAGCTGGAATTCTCCGATGTGACAGGGTAGAGCCCGTTTTGAATCTTAGGCACCTGAAATCCGACCTAGGCGACTGCTTCATATCCAATAGCTGTGGTGTTCAAATAATGTGGATGATAAAAAAACTTAGGTAGGTGACCGTTCCTAGTAAAGCAACAGGTACGGTTCCACAGCCCCTTAATGCACTGTGCTTGGTCAGCGTAAGGTCAGCAGGGATCCGCCGTCTCAAATTCTGAGTTCTTTGTACCGTTGCTCCTGAGATTTTGGTGAGCTGTTGTAGTTGGAGAAAATATTTTAAAGTGATAGTTCAATGCATCATTAATCACGTTCTATCTGAAGTCTAGCCTCCATCTTTGGCCCTCTTAAAGGTACTAAACTGTTATTCATCGGATAGCATCAACAATTAACGTCCTATTCGCGGTTTATTCCATTGAATCGCTGATGCCCCCCTAGTCCACCTGCATTTTGAATGTTTTCATTCTTTGCGATCTGAGGTGTGTTTGACGCCATCGGAGTAGCTCCAACGTTATGCGGATTTACTTCAAAACGAGCAGCTCATAATAGATGTCTACAAAATGATCGTCGTGACATTACTGCTGGCTATGACTGAATTGAAAAGCATCATGAAGCAAAGCGTTTTACACGTCCAAAACAACCATTGATCTAGTTTCCTACTCTCTTTCGGTGACTAGCCACAGGCCAAAGCTGTAGGTGCCATTTTGCGATTGGGAGCAAGATGGATCAAGTGGTTAGAGCGCGAATTTACTTACTGAAAGGTCCGCGGCGCGGCTCGATCCGGACCTCTGCCTCTCAATGTCCTCTGTCTAGGCTTGGACAACCTGGCTGTATACCAGCCCTCATGCTTCCTTCGGGTAGCATGGCAGCTAGGCACCAAAAGGGTGTTACAGCTAATCGTCATTTTGCGAGCAATCTTTTTGGAAAGCTTTTGGACTGGTAAAACTGGAGAGGAGAGTAGGTACATAGTGCGGTCCCATTAGAACTGCTAGCAAGTTCGCGGTACGGTCAAAAAAGCCCACATATTTTTAATGCTTATGCGTTGAAAAAGCCCACAGTTTTTCATCAACTCTTTGAGTTGCATACAACGCGCCAATAGTTTTGCAAAAAGTGAAGTCGTGCCTGTGGGAAACCTCTTTCATGTTGCGCAGACTGCTTATTGTGTACGCATATATCCATAAACTTTGATTCAGAGTTCGATATGCTTCCCTCTTCTAAGACAAACAAACGCATTTAGGACAGGCGTTAAATGCTCGCATAAATTGGCAAACTACTTATGCGCCTAAAGAGCTACCAGAGAACGATCATCATACACTTTTGACCCATTTGAGCGCACTAGCCGCGCTATCTCAGGTTGTTAACTATATCGCGCACAGCGAGGTGCGTGCTAAATGCAAAGTCAATCCTTCAGATTCAAGAAGGAAATGCCAGTGCGTCGGGAGAACAACCGCCCCAAATAACTGAACATCACAGTGACTGAAAACCAATTAACGCCTGCGCACCACAACTGCTATTCGGCTCGTAACACACGATACCGATAGCTCACTCAATCGGTTTGACGAAGCTAGCTGACAGTCCGCAACATCGTACCCTCAATTTCTACCCTTTGATACATGGTCCCAAGGCAATTCAGGTAGTTCCGCCGCTACCAAAGTTCAGGTGTGTGAAATGGACAGAAAGAACACAACAGCAGTAAGGCAGAGGTCGGATGCCGAGTCGGGAGATCACCAGCGCCATCGACGATTGACTCGGAAAAATACTACGTTAAAGTCGAAGCGCAAGTCAGACACCATGCGCAGCAGATTGTGACCCCACAATTGAATCATGTTGTATGGAGTACCAGGCAACCATGGTAACACTTCGAAGTAGAGAGCACGGTCAGTACCGTCTGCATCAGACCCAACTGAGTATGCTTACTGATTCTACGATGGACAAACACCCGATGACAGTTCACCGGTAAGTTCCCTACAATCTGGGAAACAAACCCATTATTATTATGAAATCAAAGCAGCGGACGCAAACACCGCGTGCAGTATCGCAGGTATCTGGAGGTGAACCGCTCGGGTTACGGCCCAACCGACGGCACGCCCTNTGAAACCAACCCAGCGGACGCAAACCCCGCGTGCATTATCGCAGGTATCTGGAGGTGACCCGCTCGGGTTACGGCCCAACCGACGGCACGCCCTCATTGGTCCAACTACCAACCAATCAAGATCAAAAGCTTGGGTCTCGGCATCTCTTGCCCCCCGTGATGCCTCCGGCGTGACCTTGAGGAACAGTCCGTGGAAATCCTATCAACGCCGTTGTATTAATTTTCCTTTGTCTACATAATGGGATGTTCCAAGCTACCATTCCGTTTGACATGTCGCAGTGGGTCGAATATGATTTTCAGCGGCGACATAATAAAAGAAACAACGTTTGCTAGGCGCAACATGATGGCCTAGGTCATTTTGAATGAGAGTCGAAGGCTTTCAAGGACGAACGACGCAGTTCGGAAGAGTGTTGTTAACGTGCTGTCCTCGCCAAACGATTGACCGGCGTTCTTACCCAGTTCAAATCGCAGCCCAACTGATCTTTCAAGGCCTGCTGGTCACAGTACAAGGTGCCACTAAGTCCATAAGGAACGGGCGCATGAGAGTTAAAAGTAAGCATTATTAGTTCGTACTCTGAAATGAATTTGTAGGTAAACCAAACGGAAGCATTTGTGACGCCGTTCATTCGAAAACTGACATGCACAGAAACAATCAAGCCAACATGAGAACCAAAATGTTGCGCGCTTCCCGGTGAGCATCCCTCTCTGAATATCACGTAGGGAGTCTCAAGTTGAGCTCGGGTTATTTAGTTAATCCTTTTGAACTCTGTCTCCGGAGGTGAAAGCGGCGAAAGAAAATTAGTTACCCCTACGCTAGCTATGGGTCCCTGTGGCTGAATTCTACAGAAGGACGCAAACGATCTTCCCAGAACTATTTTGCCCAAGCTGTTGATGTTTTTGCAGCTAACAAGGTTGCTTGCTCAGTGACTGCCCCCTGTGAGTGGTCTATTGGGACGTGCAAACTTTCGAGGTCACCAAATACGGTGAATCGAAAAATCACCGGTCGTTGTCATTTTGAATCACACTTCAGCACATGAGAACAGGAATGCGGTGATATTTTTGCAGAAGAATACCTACGAACTTCCTGCGGTATTCGAAATAACCTCAACAGTAAATATTTAAATATGGATACCTAGATTTTTCATGGACCCGTTACATAAACACAGAATGCAGAATCATGACCGATAGGTTTTTTGAGTTACCAAAGGCCTGAGACTGGTTGTGGCTACAAGTTCACCGTATGGATAATCGTGAAAGCACATAACAATAGTCCTGAAAGACACAGAGTGGTATTTGATCAGTAGGAGACGGGGTATCTGGAAGAGATGCACGTGGGCGTCTCACCTGCTGAATGCTCATCCTTCAAGTGATGTTAGAGTTTCGCACAGGAGTACCTGATATTTTACCCTGTCCACGTGAGACAAGATGACAAACATGGTGTAGTGTTTCCAGACAGATTCCGCCGCTAGGGCATGAGCAAGGGGCTGTAACAAATGCTACCCTCAAATCTAGTTGCTCTGAATAATCGTTTTTGGATAACGAAACGCCCTGTTATCTCAGGGATGTTTGTTTTTATGACACGTGAATAAGAAGAAATTCCGAATCACGCGCACCGGACAAATAGATACAAATCAAACACAAGTGTCCAACAATGGCGTGAGATTTTCGCAGCTAGGCAAATTTGGGTGTAAGCTCTTACCCAGGTCGGTCTTCCAAAAACTGCGGCAACGCACCAATATTTTTTCGACATTGGAATGCTGATTTAATAAGTCCAAAAATGCTAATTCAACCTATCTAGATGGAGAAATCCTCCAAGAGGATCGAATTTACTCCTACCTGAATATTTGGTAAGCTAAATTAGTTTTTGGGTTGCCCAAAAATTGTGGGTGACTTAACTGTAATTTATGCGATGTTTCGATATTGCTGGCAGGCACTTTGACACAATCTTGAGGCCCAAAGAATTCCTAAGTGTACGGCGTACCCAGGCGTACTTTGCGTGCGCTCCCGCAACTTATCTTGAGTTCGGAACACTGCCTACTTTAGTACGTATGATCGAAAAGCATGACATTTCTACCCCTAAATGTTACGCCAACTGTGAAACGAATACCTGCAGCCTGAGTACAAAAAGGAGCAGGCATGCAAATTTCAGCTATATTTCACTTAAAAACGAAAAACTTAATCAGACAATGGAGGCTGGGCATAATCACGTAGGTTGAATCCAAATTGCACGGTCTCTGGAAACGTTGTCTGGTTGCTGCTCGGATAACAAAACTGCCCAAACATACGTCGGGGGAGCCAAAATAACTTTTGCGCCAGCAGCAGGTTAACAAAACTGAAATTGCAGTAAGCGTGTTAGACCTTCTTTAATGGAAGGTTGTAGACGATCAAAAATGCATCAACAAACTTCGAAACTGCTCAATTTTCCCTAGGGAGCTCGTCGACCCTTAAGAATCAGGCCTAAATAAACTGTTTGCGTGTTGTTACTTGCAGTTACTCCACGATAATTTTACATCCATATATCCGGCCACCCGACTCAGGTTTAACTGTAACTGTTTCCTATCTCGCATCTCATTGAGATACTCGTCCTCTGTTTATTGTATTCGGCTAGTCTTCTAGCAGCGGGCACCACAGATATCAATTGAAGAGAGCTTTTCTTATTTATGACTACCCATCCAGGGTTTGTGTGAGGGAGAGAGAACTGAAGGTCTGGGGTGTACATGTGTGTGCCTACTTGGCATATTTGGTTTCTAACTATAAAAATGGAAACTTTGAACGGCTTGCCAATCTTCTAAATATCTCCGGACGTGCATGGTTTTTTGGCTCGTTCTTTTAAGTACCCACCCGGATGAAGTCGATTTCGCACTCCCAAACCCCAATAGTCCTTTACGTCGGCGGTGTGACAATGACGTATTTTTGGATACTCTATGCCATTATTGCTACGGGGGGTTGGAGGAAACTCCTTCGCTGTGGGGTTATTTATTACAAGCTATTTGACGATAAAGTGAACATCTCATATGTACCTTGTTTTTTAGAAGCTGAACATCCTTGCGCGTCTTCTTGAACATTCATGGATATTCATTGACTGTAAGTGAACTCTGTGAAGCCGTTCCACGATTCCCGCAATGAACCCCACCTTCCGTTAGACACAACGTGGAAGTAAGAGAGAACCACATGCGTCTCACATGCCTCATCAGTAGTAGCCACCGTCACACGAGGAGCATCAACAAAATTAAAATGGATGGCGTAATGGACATGGTCCAAGTTTACGGTGAGGGCAAAAACTGCTTACGTACTCGGAACTGATTTCAAAACTTGAGTAAGAGAGACCACATGCGTCTCACATGCCTCATCAGTAGTAGCCACCGTCACACGAGGAGCATCAACAAAATTAAAATGGATGGCGTAATGGACATGGTCCAAGTTTACGGTGAGGGCAAAAACTGCTTACGTACTCGGAACTGATTTCAAAACTTGGGCATCTGTCCTAGGAAGCAAGTGACTACAATTACCACCAGTATTTTGATGTCCTTCTAATCAATTTTTCCACCAAATCTAGCCGCTAAATATATTAGTCCGATCCAAAAGCTTACCGGTTAAAAGCGCACCGTCTTAGGATATCACTTGCAAACTCATGGAGGCGGTCATCAAGTAGCCCACTCAAAAACCGCGAACAACGCCGCCTTGGCCTCCCAAGCCAAGCAAGAAAGCACAGAGATCTGGCTTCCGAGAAAGACCCAAAGTTCCAAAAAAGCTGCTATTCTGACATTTCTCGTCGTGGCAGAAGGTGAAAATGTCCATCTTCTCCTCAACATTGGGGAACGGAGAAAAAGTTAGGCATGTCCCAACTGTTCCCGCCGCAATGAAATCCCCTCTCTCAACCCTCCACACACCCAAATTTCGTCCCACGTTATCACGTTCGTCGGTCTTCTTTATCCTGTAAAAGTTTTCTTGGGGTAGGCTCGTAGGCATTCTCCTGGCACGATTGAACTCACAGTGGGATCCGTAGGAACCGCGCGTCCATCTTCCCGCATTCATGCTACATTGAATTATCCCATTGATTCATCGCCAATAAAGGACCATCTTCCTCTTCACCTAAAAATTGAGTATAAATGGGCTCTGAATAATCTTGGACCAGCATATTACCAGTCTACCTTACATGGGTTCAGAAAACGGGCCATTATTCTATCCATTCAAAAGCTATCTCTATTGGCCTGCTACCGTTCTCCCGGCGCGAGTTCCCTTCCATGTGCTACTGTTGGACTAATACACCCCACTAGTTCGGCGAAATCATCGCCGATGAGAACAAGTAGTAGGTTGATCACATTATTTATAGTAGCAGTAGTAGTGGTAGGTGGTATCATTTACTATTTATCATTTATTATTCACGATATGCCCTTGCCGCAGCTTCCACAGACGGGCCGCAGTTGTGACTTGCACACCAACACCTTCCAACGAACTAACGACAGCCGCCGCCTCTGGGACAAGACAAGCCATCTCCCGATTGATCTCTGTGCATACATCTAACAGACCATTAAGATGTAGCGGTAGGTGGTTCATTTACTATTTATCATTTATTATTCACGATATGCCCTTGCCGCAGCTTCCACAGACGGGCCGCAGTTGTGACTTGCACACCAACACCTTCCAACGAACTAACGACAGCCGCCGCCTCTGGGACAAGACAAGCCATCTCCCGATTGATCTCTGTGCATACATCTAACAGACCATTAAGATGTAGCTTCAGTTTACAGTTGTCAACCGGGAAAACCACGAAAACCCGGACGCCCCCCACTTCGAAGCGGTGTTGATTCCCCCGTGAATCATCAATTAACAGAAGTAATTTTACTTGTGTTCTGACTGCTCCGTGACTTGCTCAACCCAGGAAGATCGTCATGCACTAATGTACTTTCTTTCATGCACTGCTGCCTGTTCGGGCATCTCATCCGACCTATCAGTCCATTTATACACAATCGCATAGGTCTCCACATTTTGCAATTTTAACTCCTGATGGAGGCTGCGTACTTGGTTCATATCGAGTCGTACCGCGGTGCCCCAGAAAATTCTCTTCTTCATAGTAGACTTATCTTAAAAAACTTCTTACATCTGATATGTCCACAATTTTGCCTCACTCTGTCAGTCTGGCTGTGGATAACCTCATCTGTTCTCCTCTTCCTGAATGGTCGTTTCACAAAGCTGTTGTCAAGCATCGAACGCTATCTCCTGATGACCGCTTACGCCAACACCGCGACGGCATTTATTTACTAGATATGTTTTAAAATCTATATCTGTCTCCCAGATGCCGTATGTACCCACGAGTAACTTTAGGCAAACGTACCGCCTGTCCAAGTGTTCTCTGCACAATGGCACTGTCTCTGATGTCCATGGATACAATTTCCATTTAGCCCCATAAGAATCTAAATCTGGATATTCTCCTGACGGTTTTCATCCGCAGGATTTTTTTACTGTTTGCCCATATGGATAATAAGTCTGATATACCTGAACTGTGTTCTTAACCGAAAAAAGAAATCATTATATCCCCATTATTCGAGTAGAGAAACAGCACACCCTCGTGGTTATATCCTCCAGGATTCTATGCAAACTGAATAAAGTCGTTCAGGTTCAATTTATCTAGGATGCAAAGATCTCCAGAGCCCAGCAAAGTTCATAAATTTGATGCTTAGATGGTCGGGGAGCCATGAGGTGGAACATTTGGGGCAGCAGTACACATTAATTTCACCCAGTCTTTGAGGTCGTGTGCACAAAGGATGAGCCTGAAAAATAGTGGAAGACCATCGAGACCAGAAAATGGATTATTTTCCGGGGTGGAGCCCCGAAATTGGAGCTAATTCAGAAATTGTTGATTTGAAAGCCTAACGTTCAGATCGAGCTCACGTTAAGTACATTGACCCTGGCAGTGTGGGCGGTATTTCACTCAGACTAGGAGAACGCAGCTTTGGCTCCACCACGGTCAGAGTTGTTAAGGCGTGGCTGCATACAAGGCTTTAGACAGATGGACTAAGTTCGTATCGCGCCTCTATCCACGGGGCAGATGTTTGTGTCGGCAGATTTGGGGACTGACTCACCGAGGTCGTCTGATCGTGCAGATCAATGCAGAGCTGCCATGGTAGGTTTATGACATTTCCAGTTTGTGCGCGTGTTGTTTAAGCGATCGACATTTGCATTGTCACTGCGTGTCGCTGAAAAACAAATGCGTCTTGAAAGATCCCAAGGGACCGAATTCTGTTTCGAATATGCATCTATGGAGGATTTCAAAGCCTCAGAGATTAATTGGCCTGGGGAGTCTGCCCCTCGTGACTTGTTCAGGTAAGCACTATCCAAGCCGGTTTATGACCCAGTTTGTGCGCGTGTTGTTTAAGCGATCGACATTTGCATTGTCACTGCGTGTCGCTGAAAAACAAATGCGTCTTGAAAGATCCCAAGGGACCGAATTCTGTTTCGAATATGCATCTATGGAGGATTTCAAAGCCTCAGAGATTAATTGGCCTGGGGAGTCTGCCCCTCGTGACTTGTTCAGGTAAGCACTATCCAAGCCCATCAATAGTGACGCATCGTTTTGGCGCCCTTCAAAGAGCACAAGATAGAGAGATGACGGCTCGCTTCTCTACTGGATTTCCTAAATAAGAATATCATTAGTCGCATTGGAACATGCGTAAATGAACGCCTAGAGATGAGCGTGCATGTGCTGATTCATCCATGAGTACAGGTAACTAAGAAAAGGATGTCCGACAAAAAGCAATATTTAGACCATTCGGACGAAATTCCGCTGACATGCCATCCGAAGGAGGTCAGCCGGAGCCACCTTTGCCTCACCTCTGGACTGGCAGTAGCAACGGATGAAGTCACACCTAGTTGAAGTAGCAGACGAACCTACCTCGTTGAGAATTTTTCCCTGCACAGACTATCTGCCAAAGTGGAGGTTCTTTGTCCAGAAAAATCATCCCTTAAAAAAACAGGCGCAAGCAACATTCTTGGGGCTGGCCAGAGGCTTTTGAAATTTTACCACAAGACTGCGCGGCAAAAGCGGGCTGGGTTCAGCCGCTTTTCCGAATAATCTTTGGAGCCAGATAGTTGGTATCACCATGTGCAGACAAATTAAGAACCGGGGATGACAGCTCGAAACGTGATTTGTCGGATGGGCCTCGGAGCTACGTGGCTACGGAAAAGCCGACGCATCTTATTGGCACTTTGAAATGGTACATCACGGATAAAAGTTTGAATAGTGTGCAGGAGACTGTAGGTGTCATGAGGAATGACGGATATTATCATTGTGACTAGCGGGGTCCATTTGCAGCTTCAACGTCTGGTCAGGCCTAAGCCTGTAGGAACTGGAGGTCATCATCAGGCAATTATTCCTTCATCAGCAGATATACCCGAGTCAGCGTTGGTAGTGCATATTCGCAAGTTAATTAACAGTGAAAGCTTCCCCAGTCTTGACACCGTTTGGGAAGATGCAGTGGTTCATTTGAAGATGTGCAGCCTAACGGCCGCCTGACAGCATGGATTTGAGCAGAAAAGCGTGTCACTTTAGCCTCCCTTGCTTTTTTGACGAACAACCTCAAGATTAGGCGGCCATGAGGTACCCCCACATGACTTTCTGAAAGTGTTTAACACAGACAAGCTGTTAGGTAGGGTTAAGCTTGGATTAGTAACCGGGTTTGAATGCACTAGAGGGTTCTGGGCGCGGGTCATCCATGTCTCTCAGCGGGGCCCTTTGGCGTTCACTGTGGGTCCTATATGGGCTGCATGAATGAAGTGAAACTGGTTGCCAAACCAAATTCAGGGTCGCACGCCACGACGCTGGCAAAGCGTGCACTTGGACTGCCGCTTGGGAGCTCTGCTAGGTGTCTAACTGCGTCATCAGCGCAGAATCCCTTTCTGAGTGACCCAGCCACCATCCCTTCTGAAGACTTTAGTCGTCAGATATGCGAGGATTGAAGCCACAATCGACCTTAAATCCTTAACATATGCCGCTTACATGTGGTACCAAAATGGCGGAGCGCATTCAGCGTCGACATACAGGATGAATCACTAAAATCCGAGTGGTTCCTTACATCGATGGACACAAGGAGCCTTGGACGCCAGGTAGTGACCACATCGTGACAATCAAAATACAGATGATTATTGCCGGTCCCGGAGCCTTAACAACGAAATAGGCTGCTGTGGCTCACCTACAGTGGAATGAGGCTGGAAAAGATGAAACTTGAAATTAAACGAGCTAGTCTCTTCTGGTCTACGGTTATAAACACTGGAAGCCAGATTCCGAACGTGATGACTTCTTTCTTCAGGACGGAGTAGTTTTGACGTTGTTTGGACTTCGATTGGAATGCCAATACACCGGATCATTTTTGAGGATACTAAGCCAAACCTAAGAGGTTTTTTCACGTCTGCTCAACTCTTGATCAGTTAAAGCTGCTGCAGGTCTTTCCTCTCCATGAACATCCTTTTCAGCACTTTTTTCCAGCCAGTAACTCGGTTAGAATTATGGCGCGTGGATGGTCCCATAATGCTGCGTTATTTTTCTTCAAGTCCTTATTGCCTTTCGGAAGAGTATTGGATGCAGCAGTTATTTCTCCTATTATCAAAGCTCCTTTAGACAACTGGAGAGCCTGGATACGAATAACTTGATGCACGTTTGCCTATTCCTCCGTCCTGACCTTGAGGGTTAGGCTAGTTTATACGGGTGAAAACGGAGATTTATTCGCTGTAGCGGCCCTTCCAATTTTCGAAGAGGATGGAAGCAACGGTCGATCAGACGCTGGTTGACAGCGAAAGGGACTACTTAGAGTTTCTAGATGAGACGGTACATGTTAATCCAATGTGACGTATATGTTCCTTCAATCTAGGAAGAATATAAAGATCGTATTAATTCCCTCATTACTCGTGATGCAACAAGATTGATAATAAACATAAATGACCTGAGGCGTGAAAACCCCGATCGTTGCAAAAGGTAAGTACGTGATGTACTTCTAACTGGCAGACTTTTGACGAATTCATCCACGGAACTCATTGCGTGTCAAAAGGCGCTGAAGAAATGTATCCAGAACGTCAATCCGGATTATGCCAAGCAAAAGTACGATTTTTTCGTTGGCTTTGAGGGCAGGTAAACGGATTATCTCGTCGGAATATTGTCTCTAGTTTCGGATCCAAGCACGTAACACCAAGAACACTAACTTCCAAGTTATTGGGTCACATGGTTTGTTTGGAAGGAATAGTGACAAAAGGTTTGTCATACACTTGGTTCCAAATTTTTAGCCTCTCTTATACGACCCAAAATTGTCTGCAGTGTCCACTATTGTCCCGCTACCAAGAAGTCTATTGAAAGGCGGTATGCAGACTTAACTAGCTTGGAAGCCTATCCATCCTCGGGAATATACCCCACGAAGGATGAAAACGGCAATCTTCTGGAAACTGAATACGGCTTATCTGTCTATCAGGACCACCAAACGTTAACTATACAGGAGATGCCAGAAACGGCTCCTGCCGGTCAGTTGCCCCGTTCTGTCGATGTCCTACTCGATCACGATTTGGTCGATGCTGTGCAGGTGCGTTACTTAGTTTTGTAGAATGCTTCTATACTTGGAATGTTATGTCTGACGATCTCTGTACCTATCTTCCTTTAATAGCCGGGTGATCGCGTTCAGGTCGTTGGACAATACCGTTGTCTTCCTGGAAAGAAAAGTGGTTATACTTCGGCGAATTTCAGGACAGTTTTGATTGCTAATAATATTCAGTCGCTGAGTAAGGACTCCGGCCCGAGTTTCTCCGACAAAGATATAAGTATGATGCGTCTAATTGCCAAGCGGACGGTAAGTCTATGAGGTTTTGCATTGGGTTTTGTCGAGATATTGTCAACTTATTACCAGATTGTCAGGCTCACAAGTGAATTCCTACAGATTGTACTCAAAGAACTGCGGTGCAGAAACGGCCTTTATGACTCCCACATAAGTGAAGTCTTCGTGTGGAGGACTAAAGGACAGTGTCAAGCCCGTTGTTAATCAAGAAGGCCCTTACTTATTGGTCTCATTATTAGATGACTGTCATCTTGTGGCTTCCAGTCCCAGGATGCAAGCTTGATTGAAAGTCATACGGAGCTCACATACTCTGGTTGGGACGGTCTCTCTCCCCCAGATAGAGGCAGACAAACCATACAAGCACCGACCGGATGTTTTGCCTTCATTTCCTAACAGAGCTGGTGGGAGTTTGTCAGAATCAACAGCTCGGTGACACTTGAGGGAGAAAAAGCATTGGCTTAGCTTTGAGGCTGTTGCGGACTCCAGTTTCACCGTCCAGGACTGCATTTGAAGGCCATGAACCCACCTAAGAATCTGTGGGCGGCCAGTTGCATTGTTATTGAGAGTGTTCAACCCAACGATTCAGGTCTTTCGTAAAGACTAGTGAGCCGTTTTTGCCCGCCACGAAGAAACTTGACCCTGCCCTAGTATGGTGGCTTGTATGCCTCCGTAAACCAATGAGCTATGCAAGGGTATCGTGCCACCCTCGTAGAGTCTCAGATCAGTTTCATCAGAGATTAAAGTTCTCATCAATGCAGCCTCCAGGTCGTCCGGAGTCGGAACATACATGGCACTTTCGTTGAAAAAAGTAATACGTTGTCATTTTCCGGTAGACCATTGCAGCCAGGCTCCTGAGTCAAGGACTTTGGTCGAGGACCCTAATCGTCCACCTGTCTGGATCTGCGCGCACTGGCAGTATCCCAGTCGGTGCGTGAAAACGGTTCCTACAAGTTGTCATTCCTGCATTGTCATGTCACAGCCGTCACGTGGTGCCATCAGTCGGATCACCTTGTTACATACCGCAAGACAACTAGGCAAAATAAGTAACTGCTGACGTCTTCCCCTCTCTCGCCATCCCATTAATAAATCCATCCTTGCAGGCCCATACGTTAGGACTGATGAGCCCATTCATCTTGCATCCGTTTTCGCCGCAATATCTGGTCAACCAGCGCCGGTTACCTAACCAATCCCAGAATGAATCTTCAAGCTTCGACGCCCAGTCTGTTTGGCTGCCTTTAGTGGTTCCAGTCCGGTGCATGTAGGACAACAACCTGCTCCTGACCCCTAACTTGCCTGTGTAGCAGAAACGGGGATTCCTGGTCCAATTGTAGTCACTGAGCCAGCTGTCCCGTCGTTTTTCGTTGGGTTCCATAATGGGCACTTATGGAGACCCATTGGTCACTGCGGCAGGATGTTCAGGCAGGACCCTTTCTTTAATGGGTACCCATTGATAATGGTATCTGTGCGGTTTGTCTGGCAACGTCTGTGAAGGATTCACAAGCGGGAAGTTGATCCCTGTTTGCTTGTCGTGTCTGCTTACGTCCGAACCGACTGTAGCTCAGACACCATTAAAAACAAGCTTTATTAAGCCCTGAATACCCTGTTAAGTCGAGCTGAAAGCTCAGGTATTGTTGTGGTTGCCGGTGATCTGAATGTACAAGTGGTCAGGCTCAGCTCATCTGTGACTCAATTAGGTGGTCGACATGGATTGGACTCCGTACGTACAAAGCGACGAGATGGCTCAAATTGTTAGAGCGATTTTATTGACCGGAAGGTCAGTATTTCGAACCCGACCTCTGCTTCCCGACTTCCTCTGTCTAGGCTTGGGCAACTTGGCAGTATCCCAGCCCTCGTGCTTCCTTCGGGTGACATGGCAGACAGATACGAACAAATAATGAACGATTGCTTCGGCTATTTACTAACCACAGGCTGTTTTCATGCAGTACTAACTTCCAAATTCGTCTGACCACATGGTGTCCTCCAACAGCGTGCCACATTGCCATCAGTTACCGATGGCACGGATCAGTAACAGACTATCACTCATTACGACGGCAAAGCATCAGTGTTGGACACTGATGTCATGCTGTCAGTGGAGATGATGTCGCTCGTTTTGGAACATATTTGTGGATTCCGACCACGCCTTGGCCCGGAATCGCTTCTCCCTACGTTTTCCGTGGGCGCCTAATGTTCGGATAAATAGCTTAGTAACTGAGAAACTGGAAGATCCGGATGTTGGACGAATTTAACCGAATGGTTTTCTGAATTCTTCAAAATGCTCCACCATCAAATGTGAATTCATGCTGGGACGAGATGGCCACCTGTTTGCACAGTGCTGTAGCACGGCGCTACCAGGTCTATTCCAATCATACCGAACAGTGGCACTGTTTAACCTTCAAAGAAATGTCCCCGCCAGTCCCAAACATTATTTGACCCGACGAATTATCGGACGTCAAGTGTAAGTGAACGTACGATCAAACCATGAGGCCTGGTAGGCAAGGAAGGCTAAGGAAATGGAAGAGATCCAGATCCTAAGATGCCCGGAAATTATTTCAGTTCATTCGTACAACCAGTCCCAGGAAACCGTCTATAAGTGAAACCATCAGCGATCAAATTGGTGCGACTATCTG